GATAAAATAGTGATTGATGCATGTTGTTTTGTTTATAAGGTACAAAACATTTTTTTAAAATAGAAATGAGTAAAATTTATTTTAATTTTATGTATTTATTTATTTTATTTTAAATTGCTCATTGGCAATGTCACATTTTAGTAGGGGTTCATTTGATCAGGGCAAGCCAGCTCATTAATCATAAGTGCTAAGTGTCAGGAGCAACTAAGTGTTTTTACCTGTTTCCTACTAATAAAATGTAAAACAAACCCTAAAATGTCCAAATCATGTCTTGTGAAGTTTATGAGGTATTTGTTGACACTGGCTTTGGTTCAAAACTAAACATTAAAGATGAGTGATAATATAATATGCTGATGTTTTTTTTTCTTTTTGATAATATAGTTTCCTAACGTAATCCAAAAAATATGCCTTTTATGGTAACTGGAATCCCGCATGTGTATTGGGGCTGTAAACTTCCATCGACCTGTCCAGAAGGTAACTCACCTCTTGCATAGTAATTGCTTGGAGAGGCACCATCTCCCCTTATAAGTCTAATAAAGACAAAGCAAGTAAACAATTTCAGTTCACAAGTGACCGTGGAAGTTTTTCTWAGGTTAATTACCAAACTCTTAAGGTCCATAAATGGGTGGAAGCATTTCTGAATTGTCTTCATATGAGTCCTTAATGAATGTATTTAAAACTTGGTGTAAAAGAAAATGGAAACTGTGATTTCTTGAAGTTTTTTTTTTTTTGAGTAAAGGTAGTGGTTTTAATAAAAATAAAAAAGTCTGATTGCAATGCTGTGCTTTGAGAAGCCTAATCATCAAGGTCATTTGTTGTTGTTGTTTTTATTCATTTATTTATTTATTTAATTTATTTTTGCTGTCTATACCCTGCAGCATTTTCTAAATGTTTGATGAACTTTTGCACTAGGAACTGTTATGTAGTTTTGCTCTTTATTTTTAATGAAAAAAAAATGTATATATTGAAAAAATACAAGGGTATCTGGTTGAGTAATTTGGCCTATACACTATTTAAAAATACAAAATAGTCTATACGTATATTAGCTTTTTTCTTTCATAATTTACATCTTTTCTCAAGTAAAAATGTACGTGTTTGAAAGATTGTTTTAGAACAATGGTTGTCTCATCAAATATCAGTAACTGTAAAAGTAAAAACAATCTAAGTAGCTATTAAAAATAGAAGGAACACAACTTTGACAAACTGTCTCATAATTCATTGAACTTTGAAACGTGCTTTAACTTTTAACTTTTTTTCTGGTTAAAAAAATGAATTTTTTTTCATTGCTCTTGTATTCTATAGAAGAAGATATGTTTACAGCATGAAACAAGGAAGGTGCTTTATTTTGTTTATTAAAACAGTTTGACTCCATAATTTCGTGATTTTTCACATCTTTTTTTATAACAAATAAATCCAATTAGCATGCCACATATGAATTACATCAAATAACTTAAATGTCGTCTGAAAATACTGTATTAAAACCATAAATTTAAAGAACAAAAGCAAATCTGAGAAAAAAAGAAAAAAAAAACATGTGGCCTATATTAGCCTTGACTTAGTTGATCTGAGGAAGCACTGTTCATCTTTTCCTTAATCTGATTAAAGAGATATGAGTTAATTTGTTGTTTAGTGGCTCTAGAGGCTTTTTCTCTGCATAAATTCATCTCAGAAAACACTTCCAAGGTGCTTCAGGAACAGGGAAAATCGACTTATTTGGCCTCAGTTCAATAGATCTAATGATCAGCCTTCCAGTATATTATGGGATTTTACAGTGTATGTGCTTTTAGTTTGAGGCTAAATCCAGTTTACATAATCCCTGTGTTACCCATGCTCCTATGTCTAAGCTTATTTCATGACCCTGGAATTATTCCACAAAAAGTCTCATTTATAATTTCTAACAGCAAAACTGAGAGAACCCTTTTCCTTTTTCTACCTGAAGACTATCATTAAATTTCTACTTTTTGTCTGTTAGAGAACAACATTGGTATCATAATGCATTGTATGGACACAAATGTTTGACATAGATGTTAGTTGTTGAATTCAAAGCCTAACTCTACACACTCAGATCCGGCTAATGATTGAATGTACTTCATATACTTTCTTTCTTTTTTTGTTATTTTTCAATTATGTAGAGAAAGTTAAGCTTCCTAAAATGCAAATGCATTGTGCATATATATATATATAAACACTTCAGTCAATGTGAGAATGATGCCATTAAAAAAAAAGAGAGTATTAGATGACACCTCTAAGTATTCACACCAAATTCTCTTTTCCATATAAAAATACATAAGATGAATGTGAGCTGAGGGCAATAAGAGTGATGGAGACACAGAATGTCCCTTTAAAAGACACAGCTGCAGTGCATTTCACTACTTCCCCCAGCATGTGTATCGTGACTAACCGTCGACATAAATGTGCAGATAAACACTTTGAGAGCGTGCATCAGCCTGAATTTCTATGAGCTCCCACGGGACACAGTTTCAGAAGGGAAAAAAATAAAACTGCTTTGGGTAATGAGCTGTCTGCATTATTCATGACAATCTGACAGGTTTGACTAAGAGTTACAAGGACTAATCATTACTTTAATACAGAACATTAGGTTACTACAAATGTAAATGAATTTTAATCGGTAATACTTTACATATTTTTATGTAACTTTACCATTTTCAAATATTGGCTTTAGTTGAATGATGGAGGAATTTGTGATTCCATTCATTGTGGTTCATAGATGATCATTGCAGGACACAACACTCTGTGTTTGATAGTACAATATACTGTATATATA